GAGAACCTTGTGTCGTTCCTATCTTCTCTAAGGAAGGAGGGAGGTCATCAGATCAATAAGAGGTGGGCAGACAGCATAGGGACCTTTGTTTTTCCTTGTTTATGGCATTATCACAATTATAATAAAGTAATACATTTGTATAACATTATGTTTCTGTTGCACTTGTCCATAAACTCTGCAGAAGCTGTCTTGTTATTGCTTAGCAGTGCCACACATGGAGTTGATATCAAAAAAGAAAGGGAGGTGTGCAAAGAGACATCTGAGGTAGAGCTCCTGACTCCTTAGGGTTTGTATGGCATTTGAGGAATCTAGAAGTTCTCAAATCCTCTGAGGGGCTGCTGAAAACAGAGGAGATTCAGGTTGAGAAACTGGCTACAAGATATCACTATGCGGGGGTGAGGCCAAGAAGCCTTGTTGCTGGAAACTCGAGGTGGGCTGGGAAATATCTGGGATTAGTGGCTGGACTTCCAGTGGGTGCACAGCAACCAGCAGGTGGAGGGGGAGGGGAGCTAGGGCTGAGTACCCAGGGTGACCCTAACCAAACTCAGAGAACAGACCGAGATGAGTGCCTCAGTTGCGGACTTTAGCAGCTCCCACCTTCAGGATACTCTGAAGGAGACCAGACCTAGCCCCCCTTAGTGGGCACCAGCCTGTACATACCTGAGGACAGGACCAGGTGGCCTGCAGTAGAGACACCAGAAGGACAGGCACCAGGCCAGCCCCAGCCCTGTCTCCCTGCTGTCAGCGAGATGCAACCTTCCTCTACACCCAGGTGCCACGTTGAGGAAGGGAAGGGAAGGGAGAAATCCAGCTCCCACAGGAAGTTTAACTTTCAATCAATAGAATGTTTCATCAACACAGAGTATTTTAAAGGAAGTGGGGCATTCATTAGAAAAGTTCATATGTTCTTCCCACCACCCCACCCCACCCCGCCCAAACTGGCTGCTACCCAGTGGGATGGGACTCCTGAGGACGAGGTCTGTTACGGAAAATGGAAAGTATGTGGTCTTTGTACATTTCAGTTTTAGTTTGTGTTCCATTTGCAACTTCATTCTTTGTACATTCCTTAACAATGAGCAGGTTTCCTACCGAAATGAATTCTGCAGTGCCACAGGATCCAGAAACAGCTGCATTAATTTTTACAGCAAAAGTATTACTTGCCATTTCAGCAGAAACCGTTATCCCTTCTAAGATCCTCTTGTCTCTCATGCTTTGTGTAGAAAGATCCAGAACTGAGAAAACAGGAAACTGAGATTACTAAGCAAATTTCTAGCACCTACCCTCTAAAGAACTTGACTCCTGGTCGCTCCAGTCACCTTTCCATGAGTTTGCTGCTTGTCTGAAGGAAGCTGTCAGAAGCTGTCACCAATCATGCTGAGGAGAGCAGCCCAGGTGTGTCGGGAGCTGCATCCCAGCTGCCCCAATTCTGTAATCTTTTCTAGGTTCCCATCTGTCTCAGCCTGAGGTAACTGTCCTGCTGAATCACACACCAAAGAATTTAAATTCCTCTTCTTAGTTCAACAGAAATAAAGTTGGAATTATTCAAGAGATATTTTCAGCAAGCAATTAAGAAATAATAAAAAACATCAAAGTATAGGATAATAAAAAACATCAAAGATAGGATAAAAAAAACAAGGATTTTGGGGGGTACAGATTTATTATAGTAAATGGAAAACAAACAAACAAACAAACAAAAAAAAAAAACAAAAAAAACCAAACCTGCCTCTGTAGGGAGAGCCTCAGATGCATAGCTTTTTGGGCGTTCAATCAAAGCTTTGTTTTCCTCTTCTTCTACCTGCCAGTGGACTCTTGTCCCAGATTCAGAAAGACCTCCTGCAATTCCCTTCTTTCTTTGGGTACTGTTTTTCAGTTTGGCAAAGTCTGGAGATAATTTTGGTTGTCACGACTGAAGGAGGGCGGTGCTTGTGGCATGGAGCGGGTAGAGGCCCGAGTTGGGTTAAACAGCCTACAGCACAGGACCGCCCTCCCCAGCAAAGAACCATCGTGCCCAGAATGGCAACCGTGTTGTGGTTGAGAAACCCTGCTGGAAGCAGAGACAGGCAGAACGACCCCACTTCGAGAAGCCTTTCCAATGAGACAAAGTAACTGCTGTGGTCAACGGACAGTTCTCTTAGGCGAAGAGGAGCAGTCATAATTCTGTGTTAATTCATTAATCCATCTGTTTGCATATCAAATATTTTTTAGTATCTACCCAAAATGGCACTGTTAAGCACTAACAAGATGGTCAGCTTCTGCTCTTGTAGAGCTATGGACAAGTCCAAAGGAAAGTCATTAAACATAAAATTATACAGCTGTAATTGTGATCATGCCACAAACTATATGGGCTGATATAAGAACATATTGTGAAGGGAAAACTGCCTCTCTAGAATCAGTAGATCTTACCATTTTTTAAATGGTAAAATCAATGAAAATAATTCTTTTTTTTTTATATTTTATTTATTTATTTGATAGAGATCACAAGTAGGCAGAGAGGCAGGCAGAGAGAGGGGGAAGAAGCAGGCTCCCCAATGAAAATAATTCTTAATGTTTTATTTCCTTGAACCTTCATCATGACTGTTTTCAATGACATAGTCTTTTTGGTCTTCTTAGTTTTCTAAAGGAATACCGTGACTCTCCTTGTTTTCAAAATGGCCATTCGACTCTCTTTTCTGATACAATGGCCTACTGAAGTCTGTGTGCTGCTGAGCACCAGCCCTACCTTTCCTGAGGATACCAAAGTGATTCCAGAAGAGGATGGGGTTGGAGGGAAATCCTGAGTTGCTTCAAGAGTTAAGACCAGAGGGACAGCCTCCAGTTCCTAGCTCGTGGTCAGTTTCCTTCCCCTCATATAGATATTCAGTAAGCAACAAGACCCATATTTCAAAATTTGAGTCTATGATCTTTTCCCAGGAGTGTTGATTGGGGAAAGAAATACTTAAACTGAGACCTGAGGATGAATTAGGTAACATTGGAAGAAGTGGAGGCAAGCCTTCCAAGAATGTGAAAGTCTGTTTGGTATGTGTTGGCATGTTAAAATAATCCTTAGACACAGAAAAAGTATTCATTATGGTCCCCTGCTTCCTTGTTCTGAAGAGCAAAATCCATTTCTTCAGAGAGAAGATTGATCTTGGACTTGTAGGGAAGGGAAGGGAATGGTGCCAAAATTTGTTTTACTGTGACTCCCAGCCAGCTATCCTACAAATTGATGACGACAGTGCACGCAAATTTGACAAATGCATGCAAAAACAAAGCAGTGGGCATTCTCTATTGCAAATGCACAAGGTTATGCAGCAATGTTTCGGTAGATCTAACTGAGTGCCCTGTCAGGGCAGGCCTTTCTTCACCTTTTGAAGTCAAGAATTCTGTGGAGAATCTGATTGAAGGCTATTGATTTCTACCCTGGAAAAGGCATCAATGTGCATATACAAAAATATCTGCACACAGTTCATGGGGTTTCCAGTTCTGAAGCTCATGGATGGCCAATTAACACAGCTGCTTTCGGGCTGTAACAATGAATAAGGAAGAAGAACATGTTGGTGGTGGGAGGTATTGTGTCCTGTCTTACGCGTAATGAGTCTGAGATGCATGTGGCAGGATATTCAGGTGGAAAGCAGTTTAAAATGCTTCCTGGTTTTGTATGATTTTATAGGCATGTTGAAATTAAGAGGAAGTGGGTGGGTGTGTATCAGTACAATGGGCCCCATCCCTAGGGTCCAGGTTCTCCTGTGTCCATATTTAGAAATTTTTTTTTTTTTTTAGAAAAATGTTCATTGTAGAAAATTTTCCTGGGTTTCTGCCTATTTAAAATATGACCCCCCCCCTCCTTTACAGTTTTTAGTTCCTTTCCATAATCACTCCCTACTGCCAAGACTGATTAAAGAGAAGGCAGCCATGTGGATATGTGGGGAGCCTGTCTATGAAGAGGGGCTGAAATGTTATATTGTTGAAAGAAATATTAGACAAACTGAGCCAACCTTCTGCTCCCACTCCGTTGCTTTGCTCAAGATTCTTGCCAGACTGCCCTTGGAGGAAACTGAACCTATGTGCTACACTGCTTTTCCCTGTGGTTGGGTATAAAGTTTGGGAGTTCTAGTAGGCTGAAAATGCCTCCCTCAAAGATATCCAGATCCTAGTCCCTGGAACCTATGAACATTACCTTCTATGGCCAAAAAAAGGATCTTTGCAGATGTGATTAAATGAAAGGTTTTGAGATGGGGAATTATCCTGGATTATCTGGGAGGGCCACAAAGGCCATCACCTGTCTTCCCATGAGGGGAAGGCAGAGGGAGTTTTGACATAGACAGAAAAGGGGCAGGCAGAGAGAAAAGGGGGAGGCCACATGACCACATGACCACGGAAGCAGAGGATGCAGGGATGGGACCATAAGTTAAGGAAGACTGCAGTGACCAGAGCTCAAAGAGGCAAAGAACAGTTTCTCCCCTGGTACCTCTGGAGGCTCCCCCTAGAGCCTCCAGAGGGATCACAGCCCTGGTGACACCTGTGATATTTGTTTCAGAATTCTGGCCTCTAGAATTGGGAGAAAATAAATTTCTATTGTTTTAAATCAGCAAGTTTGTGGTAATTCAGTACAGCAGCCATAGGAAACTAACTAGGGACGAATCTGGACAAAGGAAGAGAGGACAAATTGTCTACATCAGAGCCTATTTGTCTCAGATTTTTTAGAAGGTTTCTGGCTTCCTTTTCCTTCTCAACCCCAAATATTTCTTTCTGAATCCAAGTAAACCTTCCTCTCTCACCTTGACACTTGCATTTTAAAGCTCCACTGTTCTCTACAAGCTGATTTTGATTTTCTAGTATAAAATCCCATTTTGATTGTTTTGCCTCCTTCCCCCCCCAGCTTATATTCCCTGCCTCCAAATATTCATTTATTGTTTTGATGCTCCCCTCCCAACTCCCCTCCTATTGGCCTTGATCTTAAAATAAAAGTTACTTACAATAAACAGCCTCTTCTCTCTTTTCTTGTTATTTCCTCCACTCAGCAGTACAGAGCTGTCGGGCTGCTTGCCCCCAAGTGTTTGAAGCCACCCACACACACTCTGAAGCACAGTTCCCAGCCGCTGACGACTCAACACTGTCAAATGACAGTCACAATGCCTTCATCATTAGTTTGTGAAACACACTATGCAAATGGGGCTGCAGGGTGTAAGAAGAAGAGGAAAATGTATTTCACGACAGCAATATCTTAACTCTGAGAAACAGGAGACAAATTGGGCCAGGTGATTATTTTAAAAGAACCAGTGGCTGAGAGTGAGAACTAAAAGCAAATCTCTATCAGAGAATTTGAAAAACCCAAACAAGCCATGTCAAGCCTTCTTGCATGAAGACCTCCTAGTGCTTCAGGGAGAAACGGTATAAAGAGGACTCTAGGAAGATGCCAAGAGATGGGGCACCAGGATCACAGGTGAATATCCTCACCCAGGGTTCAGCAAACTGACCTACAGGCCAAATCTGGCCCACCACCTGTTCTTGTGAATAAAGTTTTATTGGAACGCTGTCATCTCCATTTATTTACATATTGTCTGTGGCTGCCCTTGTTTGTGAGAGTGGGGTAGAGTAGTTATGGCACAGACTGTGTGGCACATAGAGCCTAAAATATTTAGTATTTCGCCCTTTATGTTAAAAAAAATGCCAAGCTCTGTTATGATGAAACTATAACAGCAGGACTGGGTATAGAAAGTAAACGCTAGCAACGAGAAATACCAACGTGTATTAGTTTCTTAGGTTTGCCACAACAAATTATTATAATCTGGGTGGCTTAAACAATAGAACTTTATTCTCTCAGAATTCAGGAGGCCACGCATTCAAAGCCAAGGTGTCTAGAAGACTGATTCTGAAGTCTGAAGGAGACTTCAGAAGTTCTGAAGTTCTGAAGGAGAATCGATTCCATGGGGGTGGCCAGTATCCTTGCCATTCTTTTGCTTGTAGACTCATAGTTTCAGTTTCTGCCTTCTCTTCACATTGTCTTCTGTCTTCATTTCTGTCTCTTATAGGGACACAACATTGAATTTAGGGCCCATCCTAAATCCACAATGATCCAATCTCAAAGTTTATAATTTCACTAATTACATCCACAGAGACCCTTTTTCCAGATAAAGTCACACATTTGCAGGGTTGGGATTTGGACATAACTTTTGGGGGGACACAATTCAACTTACTGCACCACCACCCATAAAGAAGTGTTAACCACCTTGGGGAAAAAGGAGGCGGCTTGAGGAGCTTGGAGATGGCTGGGAATGTCACCCACCAACTCTTGAATATGGCCTCGGGAAACAGCGATTGCATACATATTTAATTTTGACATCGTTTTTTGTATTTTATGAGATATATTAATTCCACAGAAAACTCTGACTCCGTCTGTTGATCTACGTGTAGACTATGGGGGATTTAAGCCACTATAGCCCTAAAAGCAGCCAAGTGAACAAAAGGCAGATTAGGGGGAGGAGGAGGAGAAGCTCAGGGCCAGGAAAATGGGTTTCTGCAACCTCCGTGGTTGACTCTGACAAGAAAAGCAGCATCTTGTGAAGCTGTTATATAGCAGCGTGGAGTGAATTCAATGAGGTCCTTTCAAGTCTGCTAAAGTGTTTTTTGTCAGCTTTATTTTTCATCACGACTTGGGAACAAGGAGGTGTTGCTGCACCCTGTCTCATCTCGTCCTTTGTTTCATTTTCTTCACCAGATTCCAGATTAATATTTCAACAGAATTGGGGAGGGGAGGTTCAGCTCATATTTCTGCTAGAATTCTTTTCCCTTTTTCTCTCAGTATGTACCATTCTAACCTGAATTTACAAGCGGGGGCGGGGGGAGGGGGGAGCCACAGTCAAGTTAGCACACTTTGGGGAAAAGTCTGAGTAGAAGTGACAGTTGTCTTATAGGGATTGTCCCTGATTGGCACTAAAACCAGGCTAGACAGAGTGAGTTAGGAAATCAGGAGGACTCTTCTCCCAAGAACCGGCAATGAGGTTACCTTGAGGATGTGTCAGTGGAGCCCCAGGGCATGAGAGATGAGACAGTCACAATAGGTGTCAAACTAGAAATTCCCTTTGTTGAGGTCTTTCTGCTTGATGTACCTAGAATAGGTTTGGTTTTCCTGTGTGAACTCTCTGTCGCCTCTAGGAGCTGGGACACATCAAAGCTCCATGACCTCTTTGTAATTTTAGGATATTTTCTAAGGATTCACACCCATGTCACACTGGTTTCTTTATTCATCCTCATTCATGACAAAGTTTCCTGCGCTCATTAAATATGACGCATTTCCCAAGTGCCTAAGCCTAGTTAAAAAGAGACCCAACAGGGACACCTGGGTGGTTCAGTTGGTTAAGCATCTGACTCCTGACTTTGGCTCATGTCATGATCTCAGGGTTGTGAGATCGAGCCCCCAGTGGGGCTCCTCCCTGGTTGTGGAGCATGCTTATGATTCTCTCTCTCTCCCGGGGCGCCTGGGTGGCTCAGTCGGTTAAGCATCTGCCTTTGGCTCAGGTCCCCTCTAAAAAAAAAGGTCCATAAATGAGTAAGTCATGGGAATAAAAGGCACAGCATGAAGAATACAGTGAATGATATTATAATAGTGATGTAATGAGACAGATGGTAGCTACACTTGTGGTAGGCATAGCATAACATATAAACTTGTCAAATCACTAAGTTGTACACCTGATGCTAATGTAACATTCTGTGTTAACTGCACTCAATTTTTTAAAAGGGTCCATAATAGCAATTTTTTTTTTAAAGAAAAAAGCACTTCTTTTTCTGAATGTACCATAGGGAAGGTAAAATTTTTCCTCTACCTTTTTTTTTTTTTTTTTAAGATTTATTTATTTATTTGAAAGAGAGAGAGGGAGCATGCAGCAGAGAGGGGCAGAGGAAGAGGAAGAAGGAGGGAGAATCTCAAGCAGATTTCAAGCTAAGCCAGAGCTCAGTGCTGGGCTTGATATGGGGCTTGATCTCATGACCCCAAGATCACAGCCCTAGCCAAAACCAAGATTCGGATGCCTAACCAACTACATCACCCAGGCACCTCTGTTTAACTTCCCTTTTTTTTTTCCCTTACACAAAAATCAATTTATTTCCTTCGGAAACATCTTCAGAAGTAGAGTACTGGGTTAGAGGGAAACTTTTTTTTTTTAATTTAAATTCAGTTAATTAACATATAATGTATTATTGTTTTCCGAGGTAGAGGTCAGTGATTCATCAGTCTTATGTAATACCCAGTGCTCATTACATCAAGTGCCCTCTAGTTATCCCATTCCCCCACCCTTCTCCCTTCCTGCAACCCTTAGTTTATTTCCTATGATTAAGAGTCTCCTATGGTTCGTCTTCCTCTCTGATTTTGTCTTGTTTTATTTTTTTCTTCTCTTCCTCTATGATCTTCTGTTTTGTTTCTTATATTACACATATGAGTGAAATCATATGATGATTTTCTTTCTCTAATTGACTTATTTTGCTTAGCATAATACCCTCTAGTTCCATCCACATCAATGCAAATGGCAAAATTTCATATTTTTGATGACTGAGTAGTGTTCCATTGTGTATATATGTGTATGTGTGTGTGTGTGTGTGTGTGTGTGTGTGTATATATATATATATATCCATTCATCTGTCATTGGACATCTGGGCTCTTTCCTCTATGCTTTTAAGGCAGGGACTGACATAACACAGATTTAACAAGAGGGGCACTGAGAAGCTCAGTCGGTTAAGTGTCTGCCTTCGGCTCAGGTCATGATCTCAGGATCCTGGGATCGAGCCCTGCTCAGTGGGGAGCCTGCTTCTCTTTCTCCCTCTGCCTTCCCCCACCATGCTTGCCATCTCTCTCTCTCTCTCAAATAATAAAATCTTAAAAAAAGAGAGGGACAGAGAGAAAGGCAGATTTAACAGGAGAAAAGCATGTGCATGAAAGCCCTTGTGGAAAAAATGTATACCCAAAGAAGTGAGGAGGCCTAAGCCCTTACATACTAGATTGAACAAAGAGTAGCAATTGTGGAAAAGTAACTCAAATATATGGAGACTGAAGGAACTTATTTTAACAGGCTAGACACCCTTCTCTGGTGATTAAGAATGTTTCTTCCTCCTGGCACAAGGAAGGCACCTTTCTTATGGGAATTCTGTCTCAAGCTTTCAGGGGAAAAAAAAGGAAAGTCAGAGTGCCCTTCTTGGATCTGCTGTTTCCAAGTGCCTTTAATTCAGAGTAACAGATATGCCAAAGCAGCATATTTGGGGAGGCATGTCCTGAACTTTTTCAGTACCACCTATTCTGCTGGAACTATAATGTTCCCTTCCAAATTTCTTTTGTACAGTTCCAGCGTACTGTGATTCACAGACCAATGCTCAGGCTTGGGAATCAGAGATCTGAGTTTGTATTTCAATTCCACTGCTTACAAGTTAAGTAGTTGGCTTTTCTAAGCATCCTTTTCTTCCCTGATAAAGGGGGAGGCCATAAAAACATATGCACTGCATAGAAGAGAGTTCTAGGAAGCTGAGATTGCCGTCATCGTTAAGGCCTGACTGCAGTGTTGGCTCTTGCCTGGTGTCTGGGAACTTGTCTGGTATTTGGGAGGGTTCCCACTGTTCCCAAAATGAGAAGCACGGTTCATTGTGCCTAAACTGTTTATAAAGCAATGAGGTTTATGCTGAACCTCTGTTTTTCTTTTGGGAGTCTGAAATTCCGGCACAGGCCAGGCAGAGAGTGCCCACATGACCAGCCCCCCAGAAAGACCCTGAGGCCTAGTCTCTAATGAGCTTCCCTCACACTTCGTCTGTGTCCTCACAATTCAGTTCTGGGGGAATTAAGCACATCCTGTGTGACTGAGGACTTCTGGAAGCTTGCACCTGGTTTTCTTCACATTTACCCCATGTGTCTTTTCTCTTCACTGATTTTGCTTTGTATCCTTTTACTGTACTAAATCTGAGCCTTGGGTAAGATTGTATGCTGAGTCTTATTTTCCTCCCAGTCACTGAAACAGGGTGTGTGTGGCGGGGAGGGGGTGGATTTGAGGACTTCTGTCTTTGGTCAGGCTACTATAAGAAAATACTACAGAGTGGGTGGCTTATAAACAACAGGAATTTATTTCTCCCAGTGCTGGAGGCTGGGATATCCAGGATCAGTTTTGCTCAGGTGAAGTTGCTCTCCGGGGTTCACAGTTGGTACCTTCTCTCTGTGTGCTCACATGGGTGTATGGGTTAGGGATCTCTATTCGGGTCTCTTTTATAAGGTACTCTCCATAGGCCCTAACTAACCAATGGGCATAGTTACCAAGCACAGTTACCAGAAAAGGGAAAATTCCATACCTACCTCCAAATATCCATAAGCTCTTTTATAAAGCCTTAATCCCATTTCTGAGGGTTCCTTCATGACTTAGGCACTTGCGAAAGGTCCCACCTGCTAATATGATCACCTTCAGCGGTTTTTAGGACTTCATTTTAGCAAACTACTGGAAAACTCCTCTCTTCTCTTCTCTCCCATTCTCTTTCTGTTCTTCATCAGCAAAGTCCAGGAACCACCTCAGGGGAGGGTCAGGAAGCCAATCAAGTCAGATTCTCTGTGGCACATGGGGGAAAAGGAAATGACAGGGATCCTCCAAACATTTTTTTTTTGTTTGTTTGTTTTGATACACATCTGAATTCGTGTTGTCCATGGCAAAGTAGTCTCCCTCCTTTATTACCGATGCCCCAAGTGCTTTGGGATATTTCCTTTTGGGACTGTCTTACAAACTATTGAAATGGAAATCTGCTGCATGCATCCCTTGTGGTCCCGTGGCACAGAATACAGCTCCCACCCGGCGCCCCTAAGGCGGTCAGGATTTACCTCTTTAATTGTCACAGACCTCCATTGCTCTGAGCTGGGAGAATGGAGGGCTCATGGCCAGCCTCAGGCCTACTGGTGACAATCAACCATGCCCAAGGCCCCCTGGCTGTAGACATAGGTTGGCACAGGAGAAGGGTGAAGGAGGAAGGAAGAAAAGAAAAAGTACAGAGAGAAGAGCAAAATGGTAGGGGTCAGAAGGAGAAGGCAAAATAGAAGAGAGGAAAGAAAAAAGAAAGTAAACCCTTCTCGAAAGCAGAGGAACAGTTTATGACTCAGATTCTCCAACCTCTGAACACAGCTAAGTCTGTTACTTTGGTTTATGGCAGGTTCCCAGCCACTTGGTGAAAGGGGCTGGGGGTGGGCGGGAGGAGGAGGTGGGAGGGTGTGAGGAGGGACTGCCCAGAGACACCGGTTTGAAGTTTTATTATTCACTAAAAGTTGCTCTGTTGATGATTAAACTTTGCTCTCAGAAAGTGGGGCTGTGAAGCGAGCTGCTCACTCTATCAATAGAAAAATCGATATGTCCTTTCTTTTCAAAGTGCTGAAGCCATTATCTGGGTTGTGACAGTTGACTACAATAGAATTAATTGTCATATCACAAATGGTGAGTTAGGGAATGAATGAGTGAACCAAGTGGGTGGACAGGCCTATTATAACTGAGAATACAGTTTGATTAATAGAAGGAAAGGCTGAAGAACCAAAAAAAAAAAAAAAAAAAAGGAAAAGAGTACTTAAAAAAAAGGGAGAAAAATTGATGTTGAAAACTTAAAAATACGTTGTAAACAATGTGCATAATGATATGAAGAGAGAAAAAAAAATTCGTGCTTTTTTTTCTCACCCACACTTCTAAATTTCACCGGTGGGGTGGGGGGGGAGGCACCTGGGTGGCACAGTCAGTTTCAGCTCTTGGTTTTGATTCAGGTTAGATCTCAGAGTTGTGAGATCAAGTCCCAAGTCAGGGGTGGAGATCAGCTGGAGTCTGCTAGAGATTGCCTCCCTGCCTCCCCCTCTGCCCCTCCCCCCCCTCCCTCCCTCTCTCAAAAAAAAAAAAAAAAAAAAAAAAAATCTTTAAAAAAATAAAATAAATTTCACTGATGGAATAGACAAAAATCCTGCCTACATGTGGCTGCAGTGCATATGTGTGTGTTTGTGCACATGTACCTGTAGCTCTAATATAAGTTTTGAAAACAAAAACATATTGTGCACATGTATAAAATCTTGTTGGAGTTTTTTTTCATCCTTTCTTTCCCATACTAACACCCAGAAGTAAGCTGCCTAAAGAATTAATCTGAATGTTTTGGCATCTTGTATGTTGATTTTTTCAGAGATAGTCTTTGCTATTGAATCATAGATATTGAAGTCCCCAGTAAAGATAAAGAGATTACTTATTATTTATTTATAGATGTTATAGATATTATTATTATACTCAACACTTTAATATAAGAATTTTGTTTTATAGAATAGTTTGAAACCAGGATTACTTGGCAAAATAGATTTTACAAAGAAATGGAAGTGGTAATCTAATGATAATTGAAAAGGAAATTGTTCCTGGGTGGATATAACATATGCTAGTCTTTTCAAAAAAATTTTTAATTTACTTTTCAAGATTTTATTTAATTATTTGACAGAGAGAGAGAGTACAAGCAGGGGGAGCAGGAGAAGCAGGCTCTGCGCCCAGCAGGGAGCCTGACTTGTGGCTCCATCCCAGGACCCTGAGATCACAACCTGAGCTGAAAGCAGACACCCAACTGACCGAGCCACCCAGGCACCCCAATGCCAGTGTTTTTTAAATTAATCAGTTGGATATCTTAAGAGAAATACAAAAGATTGCAAAAAGTTCATGCATACACTGAAATGTTTATTATTGGCTTTCATTTCATAAAATGAAAATTTCTAATCAACTGTGAAAAATACAATCTTAATACACTTACTGTCTTTGTACCCTTATACAGATGATTCCCTACTTCTAATAGTTCAGCTTAATGATTTTTCAACTTTACGGTGGTGCAAAAGCGATACGCATTCAGTGGAAACCATGCTTTGAATTTTGAATTTTGATCTTTGCCTAAGCCATCAACACTCTTGATTCTATCTCATGCTGCTGGGTGGAGGCAGCGGGCCAGAGCTCCCAGTCAGCAGGTCATCACCAGGGTCAACAATTCCCAACCATTCTGTCCATATACAGCCATGGTATTTTTCACTTTCAGTACGTTATTCAATAAATTACATGAGATACTCCACACTTTATTATTAAATGGCTTTATGTGAGATGATTTTTTAAAGCTTTTATTTATTTATTTGCCAGAGAGAGAGAAAGAGCACAAGCAGGGCGAGCAGCACGCAGAGGGAGAAACAGGATCCCCGCTCCTGAGCAAGGAGCCTGATGTGGGACTCAATCCCAGGACCTTGGGATCATGACCTGAGCCAAAGGCAGATGCTTGACGGACTGAGCCACCCAGATGATTTTGCCCAACGCAGGCTAATGTAAGTGTTCTGAGCACATTTAAGGTAAGCTAGGCTAACCTATGATGTTCAATAGGTTAAGTGTATTAAATGCATTTTTGACTTAAAATATTTTCAACTTGTGATGGGTTTATTGGGACACCGAGTTTTGTTATGCTTATCTAAAGTAGATCACAATTCTGGCTGCATATTAGAATTATCTGGGGAGTTTTTATTTGTGTGTTGTTTGCTTGCTTTTTAAATCCCACTGCCCAGGTAGCAGCCCAGACCCATAAATCAAAATCTCCCAAGGATGGAGCATGGTGGTTTTAAAGTGTACCAAGTGATGCCAATGTTCCAGCAAAGTTGTGATCCACTCACTTAAGTAGTCCCTGATGAACCTCATTCTCATCATCACCCCTGTTAAAATCATTCCCTCCTCAGCACTAAAAGGAGAGCACACAGCTAATTGTATCATTGCCGCTGAGGTCCTTGTTTCACTGTTCTTCAGTCTTCAGCACCTGGCGGATGCTCAACAACGTAGTGACAGGAGGAACACACAAATTTCCAACCAGCGCCATGGAATGAGGTTGCCACCATTTTAAAGATAACAGATTCCTCCAGAGCATAGAGAGGGATGATGTGACTCATTTAGTTCCACTGCACAGCTCTGAGTCACCTGGCACTTGGCCAGTCAAAAGTTTCAGAACCTGATGTTTCAGATTCTTATCCAATATATATTTTTATCCTGGGAGCCTGACTGAGGATGCAGCTGACTGAATCAGCCTGGGGCTTCTCTTCGGGAAGCAGTGGGAAGCCACTTCTGCTCCTTGCTTATGTAACCATATGTCGCACAAGGCTGACCCAAGCAATGTGATCCAAACATTATTTTTGTCTCCCACCATCACTTTAAACTAAATTCAGTGGAGATCAATTTCTCTTGTCCATGAATAAAGTCCTTCTTGCATCACTCTTGGTGTTTCATTGTAAGTCAGTCTCATTTCAGAACCTTAATATATTCAGTCGCATATACTAATCAAAAATCCAAACTTGAAGTCGGGGTTAAACCATCACCCCTTCTCCAGCATAGTGTGCTTCCCAAGATTGTGGTGGGGCATAGTCTGTGGTCCTTCTTTTCTTGCCTTTCTCCCAGTTCACCTGTGCTACCTGTGATTTCTCTCTGGCTGGGTCAAAGTAGGGCCTTCACTTGGATGAACCTGGCAGTGGTTAAAGATGGAACACTCGGGTGAGGTTGGCAGGTGTAGCAGTTGATTCTTTTCTCCTGTGGGAATTCTGTGGGTCCTTCAGAGGTTTCTTGTTGCTCTTGCAGCTCCCTTGATCTGGGATGATTGATCTCCATTCTTGGTGGCCACTTATGACACTTTCTTCACTCTGAGGTAAAGACATTTTCTTCACCTATGATACTTTTCTTCAAGAGGAGGTTTTTTTAGTTGAGGTCTCTGTGCCCCTCCATACAGCTCTATTGGACCAAGAAGACTCCCACATTGTTCCTCTTCCTGCCCCATGGTGGTGCCTTATCAGCCCATGATCTGGGGTCAGGCCATCTCCATGCAGCAGGAACCTCCTGGCTCCATTGAGGCACCTGCCTTTAGAGTCCCGGGTGAGAGTCAGATACCATTCCCAGGCCACGTCGCCTTCCTCAGGCCTGAGTGAGGGACCAGTTCTCTTTGTCTTTCGATCACAGGGAGCACTTCAAAGCTGTCCAAGTAGTTGCCTTGGAGCCTCCATCTTTAAGACCCACCCCCACTGTCTAGGAGGTACACTTCACTGTCTTAGGTCAATCTCTCTAGAAGCAGAGCCTGAAATGAGGATTCTTATTCAAGTGATTTATTGAAAAAATGTTCTCATTAGAAAAGGAGTGGCAAAAACAGGATAAAGCTTGGGGAAGGGGGAAGGCAAGCAAGAATGTAATCCCAGCTGGAGACTAGTTTCAATCTGACCCCACAGGGGAAACCCTACAGCTCAAAGTACATCACAAAGATAGTCCCACCTTGAGGCAAGGAGTTCAGTTTATACTCTCCTGATAGTTGGGCCAAGGTTTGCTGAGGTGCTTATGGTGGGGGTGTTCAGGTGGCAGGTGCTATCTGGCTGAGGGCAATTCTCAGGAGAAGGAGGCAGCTGGATGTTATTATGGGTGGGGAATCGGGGTGGGCCGGTTGGTCAAGGGGATTTGGAAGGGCCTTAACAACATTCGCTACACCCATCCTATTCCCTAAGGCTCAAGATATGTTCTTCCTTAATCTTATCTTGATCTCCTGGAGCAGTTTTAAATGGACTAATTGGGAAAGGGAGTGTCTGTCTCATTCACTTTGGTATCTGATATCTATCATCTTGCTTCTTAGTCGAAAGAAAGTCCAGAAGAGTTCTCTTCTAACCTTCTCTGACTCTGAGCAGTGTTCAGCTGTATGATACCAGTGACCACAGAGCACACCTCCTTCTTCCTACAGAGCCCAGAATGGTGAGTGAATTCAAAACCACGTTTGGCAGCTTCCCTGGTAGCCATGATGTATTTATTGCGCTCCACATATTCTTTCTTTCCGCAGACCCTGCTTGAGATATGGCTGGTGAGAAAAGGGAGCCCTCTCTGTCCTTGAAATCAAATACAGTAACTAGAACAAACCCATATTAGTAAGCATATTAAGTAAACTGGACTAACAAGGCACAGAGAACAACTTTTAGAGTATCCATGACTATAAGCCTAGAACTGCTCTTTGGAAATCTTACTGAGGCATTGAGGAGCTGTAGGGAGAGTAACAGAGAGGAGAAACCATGATCCAGCATGACAGGATCTCACCCATATCACCCATATGGCTTCTTCCAGAGAAGCCATTAAATGGCTGGAGTTAATGAGGGGTGAGGAGTGACAGAGGGAGCTGAAAGAATCAGCTCCCATGCCCGGTTTCCCATGCCCATTTCTTCCTTTTTTTTCCCTGTTACACAACAGAAGAGTCCCATAGTCTGGCATGACAATAACCACCCAGGCCTGGGTGATAATGACTGTCTAGCTTGCTGAGTCCCATAGCCAGCCACTTCGATCTATCTTACCCACCTGGTTGGTCCCTATAGGTAACTGGGTTTGTGGCCTCTCAGTTACAATATTTATCCAGAGTCATACAGCAAGTGACAGATTTGGGTAGGGGCCCATGCCAAAATTGAAACTTAGTAGTCACTGAGAGGAAAATTATAGAGGGGCCAGGACCTACAAGGACTCCCCGCCTGGTCCAGGAGGGTTTGATGTTGAACCAAACTGGGATAAGTATTCAGCCAGCCTGGCCAATCATAGTTCTGGTGAATGTAATGAAGAGACAGGTGTTAGATAGTAAACCCAACTGGTCTGCAATACCAGTTCAGGGTCTTAGCAGAGTCAGTGGCAAGCCGCTGGTTGCCATTAGAAAAATTTGGCATGAATTAGCAAGGCCCCGGGGCTGGCAGTGGGGAATAGGATCCCAATCCCAGCTTGGGGGAATGGAGCACTGGTCAGAAAAAGGCAGAATTCAGTCCTGGAAGAAGAGCTGTAAGATCAGGAGAGATCTGAGGTCAGAATAATAATACCAGGACATTGCTAGAACTGGGACTAAAGTCCCCGCAAAGCCCGGAGGTGGCTGACCTTTGGCAGAGTCACCTGAACTCTGCAAGTACTTCCTTGCTGAGGTCCTAGAGGTCGGGGTGGGGGCCGGAGGGGTCAGTGAGAGCTTAGTGTGGAGGCAGGAGTGTTTCCCACCAAGACAGAGATACATTTCCTGGAGCCCCTTTGCCAGGCATCTCCCCCACATCTCTCATTCACCTGCAAACTCAACTTCACTGAGTAGAAAACCGACTTTGCCCTGAATCTTCACTACTTTGTCTCATATTTCTAATACCAAAGCTGGAACAAAACAAAGGGAGAATTCTGAGAATTCTTCGGCTTGACAGCAGGTGGAAAAATGAAGCCCACAAGGCTGTCAAGTACCATGTGAAACAACAATGGCACTTGGCAGCTGTTACTTTTAGTGGGCACTAAGGTTGATGAAAGAGCACAGTTGTACAAAAAGGGGGGGAAGTAAGTGACAGCTATGGAGACAGCTGGTGAAAGACTTGTCTCTGAACGTACAGATACAAAGGTTTACTGGAATACATTTGAGGGTGACCTTCTTGGATAATCGCGCCTCACTATGACTTTAGTTTCCAGAGTGTTTCTTTCTGTTAAATTGTGGAATGGATAAGTTCTTTAATCTGGGCAAAAAACAAAACCCTTAAAAGGTCATCCAGGCTGAACGCATAATAATTACCTATATTTTCTGGGTCCTTGCTACTAGCCAGGTGCCACGTTAGCTGCTTTATGTCTCACTTACTTATCACAACAACCCCAGGAGCTAAGGACTATTCTGGTCTCCATTTGCATGTGAGGAAACCGGAAGCTTAGAAAAGTGAAGTGAATTACCCACACACGCAGCACAGGTGAGAAGTAGAGCTTGATTCAAAGCAGCTTGGCCTGTCCCCAGAGGAAAAAAGTGTGTAAGTCCTTCCCAGTGGTACAGACCCTGATGTGGCCTCTTTGCTAGTTGGCCACCCAGCATCCATCCTCACAAGAATCTCACACTTATTCAGGATGACAATACTGGGGAACTTTAATCTACCAGTGTAGTTTTGCTGGCCCCAAGGAATGACTTCCCTGTGCCCATGCCCTTTGCAAGGAGACTCATAATAATAACCAAGAGGACAGCTAAGCATATAACTAACATTTGGTCAGTGCTTATGTGTTAGGTACTCTTCCAAGCCCTTTACATGGATTTTGACATTTAGTTGGTTACCTAGTTATTCATTTATTACTAAATTGGTTATGTAGAATTAATATTTTTCCATGTAAACCATATCTTAAATATAGGCATATAAATACAAAATACACATATTATGTAATATGTGTATTATATAAATACATATAAATACATATAAAATGCTGAAGTACCCAGTTTATCCATTAAAGCACTGTTTAATCCCTAATAACGTGAAACCGATGTGCTAGTTTGAGTCTGAGATCCGGTGAGTCGACAGTCACTTGGTAAAGCAAGAATATGAAGATAGAGAATACTTGTACGCTGGACAGTTTTGAAATAAATATATTAGGGATCCTGACAGTCTCCTATCCCTCTGTGTGTCTCAGTGTTCTCTGATCCCCCCACCCCCTGCCCCACACTCGTTGTCCTCATGTGGCACAGGTCCTGAAGTGTGATACACAACATTGACCAAACTCCTTCCAGGTGCCTCACGATTCAAACCTGACTCAGTCAAAATTTGCCTTTTCTCACTGTAGAAATTTAAGATTGCTTTTTGGAGGAATATAATGTCCAGTCAGGGCCTTGTGGGAAAGAGAAGTGGGAAAGACAGCCCAAGCCTTTGGGAGCCAGGGGGCACAGTATCCTGAGATGGGCACGCGCACAGTGGAGGTCGGGAGTTGGGGGGTCACTTCAGGAGTCTGGCTTCTGCCTCTCTTGCCTCCTCCCTGCTGACGGCAGAGCTTCCTTGTCCACTACGGAGTCCAAGGATCCTCTGTATCTTTCAGACGTATTTTCTACAGTAGCCTCAGTGGAAACTTCGGAGGTAGGAAATCATGGTGCTTTTTCTTCATATTTACAAGCCAGTTTGTCTGATATGTAGCAAAAGTAGGAAAAGCTTTAAACATTGGTCACCCCAGCAATTCCACACTCAGGAGTGGTTTTTCAGCAATGAGGGAAGAAACACACTAAAATGTTTGCCAAAGTGGCATATTTTTTAAATATGGAAAACAGGCAACAACCTAATTTTCCCAAATAGAGGGTCACTGGAGTTTTTTTTTCATTATTTCCCCAAAGTGTTATTTAGAAAAGGAATTTCTAGAAATTATCCTTAAAGCCTGGAGGGGAAGGTGGGAAACCCCCCCATTTCTTAAATAACATGTAACATTTTTGATGGAGTTTGTTGTTTCTTTAATTGTTTTACAGTTAGAGTTGTGGCTTACCGAGGGCAGGTGCTGGGGCAGCCTCCTTAGGTGCAGGCAGCAAAGGAGTACATTTTCTGTAAAGGACTTATAAAAATAATACCTTGAATAATCAGTTCAAAAGATTGGTCTGCTTTTTGTTATCATGTGCTGGCTATTCTAAGCAATGTCAGTGATAAAATGTTCTTCCCCACAAAAGACATTTTGTTGGTTTAAGCTTTAAACAATTGCTGTGGTTACTGTGGAGTTTAAGTAAGTATATGTAAGCTTCGAAGTAGCATATCTTGCTCTTGCCTTTAATAAGCCTTGTATATTAAATTTGGAGAACTAGCCATATAGTTAATTTGGAGAACTATATAGCTTACTCAGTGGCTGCCTTTCTATCGCCGCCCCCCCCCCCCCCCCCCGTCCCCTCCATCCCCATGGATTCATTCACAGACTCTTTTCTGTGATTCAGCCACAGACTCTTGTGAGAATACATTCTGAATTGTTCAGAATCATTTGAACTCCCTTCAGGTGCGTTTTTATGTCTCCATCCCCTTTGGTACTACGTATTTCTTCATTTAAGTGAGTAGACTTGAAAGAAATAATCATAGCATGGTGACTTCAAAAACAAACAAACAGAAGTTGTGTCACTTTAATTCTGACATTCTCTGTGACCACTCTGAGTTTGTTATTTGTATCTAAATTTTAAAAAGTCAAAATGGGCATAAAATGCAAAGTGTGATATTTTTGTTTAGTAAGTGCAAATTTTACTTCAAGCATGAAATACTTTACTGAATTTAAAGTGGGTTTAAAAAAAAAAAAACACCTGAAACTTACTCTTCTTTTTCAATTATTGTTTGTTTTAAACCTAAGAAAAAATCAAGAAAAGAATTAACATTCCTGATTATTACATGCCTATTACTAAAAATAACTTTGTCTTATATAAGAGGGTCTTAAAAACTCATCTGCTTCAAGTGTCAAATATCCTAGGTGTGTCATGGCTTGGGGGGAAAACCTACTAAGAAACCAAGTGTTACTAAGATTTCTCTGAGACTTGTGAAGATTGTTGGTGGGAAAGCAACTGGCCACTGTGTGTGTGTTAGTTTTTCCAGAAAAGAAGTCCAGGGCACATGGATGTGTAATCATAAATTCCTTTCTCTTGCACAGTTTGTCCCTAATAGCTCACATGACATCCACCTACCATCATGGAAGATAGCAGTACTCCTGAGCAATTTCCAGACTTTCAAAAATAAGCACTGCTTTAGAAGCTGAGTTATTTAAGGATAGCAAAAGCACTGAGGGAAACATCTAACATCTACCATATTCATGAGCAGACAGATCTCAAAGCAACCTATTATTAGGGTAGTAATCTGGCATCCTAGAAGAAGCACAGACTTTGGAGAACACCTGGACTTTGGTCGTGGCCCTACCAAAATAATTTGCTATTAATTCATCCAAAATGTTTACTGATTCTCCACTGGGGAAGTGCTGGGAATACAATGATATACAAGATAGATATGGTCTTATCCCAAAGGAAGGGTACTCCCCACCCGAGGCGGGCTGTGTGTGTGGGGGGGGAGTCAACACACAAATGGATGAAACACTTATTTGTTCTTTTCAGTTCCAGGAAGGAAACAAATAAATGGTTCCCGATTGCTCCTAGGATAAAGAAGGAAATTCTTAATATGGTCCCGCCATTCTCTCCAAGTGCATTTACCACTTCTCCCTGTCTCTTCCAGCCACAGCCTCCTTTTAGTTCCTCAAAAGCACCAAAGCCTTCCTGTTTCAGGACCTTGACTTATATTGTCCGCCTACACCCTAATCTGCCTCAGTTAGTTCCTAATACAACCTTGGATCTCAGGACAAATATGTTGGCAGAAAAACTTCCCTGATGTCTACCTACCTACATATCCACTCCACATCGCCCACCCCAACAATCAGTCACCAACTCATATATTCCCCATAGCACCCTGGGCTTTTTCTTCATAACCCTAATTATTGATTTGTCTGTGTAATCATTTGGTTAACATCCATGTTCTCTCCCACCATAATCCGCTGCCACTAGACTGTAAGCTTCATGGGGGCAAAAGTTCTTCTCTGACTTGCACCATTGAATTCCCAGGTCGTAGCACAAAAGATGCTTGTGGAATGAATGAATGGAGGTAGGCATAGGTGAATATGAGTATGTGATCAAACTAAAAATCCTTCCACCAGGGATGGGCCTTAAAAGAATTCTTCTGTGAGGAAAGCTTGGCTGTCCAAAGAACTTCCTCATTTCTACTCTCCCTTGACTGGCCTGTCCTGTCAGGTTATTGTTGTTTTGAGTTTTTGCTTTTATGAGTACCCTCCCTCCCATTTTCTTTTTGCTTTCTTCTACTTCTTAAATTACATTTACGTTACTTTTTTTTCTTTTTATGATTTGGGCTTTAGCCCCATCTTAATTTTATAGCTTTCCATTCCAAAGCTTTCATCTCTATTTCACTCGCCCTCAGTCTTTTCGAAAATTATTTTTATTGTATTTTTATTAGTTAATCTTAATTTGGGCTATTTGGCTCTAGTCTTAACTCCTATTTGTCTCACTGCTTTCAGTTTTTTCTATATCCCATTTCAAATATAATTTTAAAATAGGTGTTATTTCTCTCATAATCTATTTTTAATTTGTTAATTTGCTTATTTTTAATAGATTAAAGAAGCATCATTTGACCATGGAACCTATCTTTCTTTTTACTCCATTTGTTCTCACTTCCTTCTTTCTTTCCTTCCTCTCTCCTTTAACCCACTGCTTCCCTCAGTGCCCTTTATCCCATTTCCACTTTCCCACTTGTATTTACAGCAGCTAAAAAATTGAAAGTCAGAGGAATAGAAACAGCAGAGAGAGTTTGCTTTATGAACATGGGAGGATAGCTGTCTCTTCCCTACCAGTTTTCCCTGCATCAGCCTCAGCTTTGTTAAGGATGGTTCTCCCCAGAACCCTATTACAGAAGATTTGGTGAATTCAGTTAATTCTATTAGGGGAATAAGCCTCGTTTGGTAGCTGGAATATTTGATTTACAGGAACAGTGTTGTTTATTAATCCCTCACCATCTATCTAGCCCTTAGGTGTGGAATTAGGGGGAACTATGCCAGCTCCATCCCCAGGAGAAGTTTCAGCCCTGAAGGGGATCCTAGAGGTAGGTCTGATCCTGGTGAGGTGTTCACAGAAAATGCTGGTAGGATGTTCCAAAGTGGGGAATCCACAGCCAGTGCTTTTGTATCACCTAAAACAAGCTTGCATTCATCATTCTACCAAGGATGTTTCCCTTTCCTTCTTGCCAAGTTGAGAGGAGTATCTTCCTTGGTTCTATTTAGTCTCAACTTTCTTCCTTGTCCTGAGGGCTAGTAGAAGCTAGAGAGTCTGAGCTGAGGGCAGTCTCACAAACAGAGTTTTAACTAAGAGAAGAAGACTCATTTCTTTGCTTCAGAATTAGTTTAAATTTTAAATCCTGTACCTGGTCATTGAGGCCTTCTTAGAGGAATGGATTTCTAGGAGGTAATAGGAAACCCCCCTCACTATCTGCTCCTAGGACGTGGGTCTCTTCAGCATTCTAAGAAAAGTCCTTGCACCAGGGATTTAGACTGAGTTAGCAGGATCTTCTGTCCATCACTACAGGGGAGAGTTAGCTGGCATTCTGAGGGAGCAGGATCCCTGAAGGCCATGCTGACCATACAATCACACCCCATCCTCTCTCCTCAAATCTAACATTGGGTTCCTTTGTAGGCTTCTATTCTCTTTTTCTCAGTGTGATCTCCTCCACTCCACACTCATTGGAGAGTCTAAATCCCTTCCCCCTCAGGTTCAAGAAGAGAAGCACTCTTATGGTATAGACCCTCAGGTTCTCACTGTCTGGTGATTCTTAAGAACCTTCCTTTGAAAATCCTCCTTTGACCAGCTCATCACCTAGCCCCATTCCAACACCAGTGATCTGGAACTGTAGAATCAATTGAATTTCCTCAACTTTAAAATGGGGATAAGGTCTACCCCTTAAGGGTTCTTCTAAGGACTGTATAATATATTTATACAAAGCAGCTGATGTGTATATATACCAATGTCTGGCATATATGAGAGGTGGTTAATAAAAGTTAGCTATTTTTACTATTGGATTTATCTCCTTGCCTTTTAGAAATAGATCTGATTCATCAAATCCATAGATCTATAGTTTCTGGCACAGAAAAATATATTCAATACAATCTAGAAATCTTTCCAGGAGGCCAAGCCCTGTCTCATACTGAAAATAATTGGTTGGGTTAGTCCTACATTTTATTTTTAAAGAATTGAGTTTTAATCCCAGTTTAAGCAAATAGGAATTACTCTCACTTCCCATGTTTGAGTCTATGCTGGTATGGTATATCCATTGGATGAGACAGGCCAAATGTTATGGTAGGACTTGGGTTCTAAAAGCAAAGGCCCTAGAGCACTTTCCATGAGAGAGGTGAGTTAATCCTTGTATGCTGGGCCCATTTATACATGAAAAATTAACCCACCAACGTGATCTACTCCATTAGATACCCTCCATTTCTTCCTCAACCTAAAATCAGATTGATCATTACAAAAATCTACAATTTTAATTTGTCAGAATTTTATTTTAACAGGGAAGTAGACATTTAGTGTTTTAGGGTATGGATTAGATGCATACTTTTAGAGAACAAATCATAGGGAAGCCCATAACCACTTAAACTTGCTGTAAGTCTAAAACCAGTCTAAGTCGGGGCGCCTGGGTGGCTCAGTGGTTGAATCCTCTGCCTTCGGCTCAGGTCATGATCTCAGGGTCCTGGGATCAAGTCCTGCATCGGGCTCTCTGCTCAGCAGGGAGCCTGCCTCCTCCTCCTCTCTCTCTCTGCCTGCCTCTCTGCCTACTTGTGATCTGTCTGTCAAATAAATGAAAAAAAAATAAAATAAAACCAGTCTAAGTAAATTTGAGCAGAGTAGGCCTAGAACAAAAGTTCATTTCTAGAAGACTGAGATGGCTTTAGACTTGTGGTTATTATTATTTTTTATTATTTACAGTAAACTTTATTTTCATTGGTATATCATTTGACATAATTTCAAAGTAGGTCAGTGCTCTAAGATGAGCCAAAGAACAGAGATCCTAAAGCTCATAAAGGATGTTTTTCATACTCTTCTGAGTAGGGCATGGGGTTTCAGTGCCCCCAGTGTTGATACCTAACATTTTACCCCTTTAGGCTTCACCTATAGATATGGAAAGAAGAGATAACATCAACATACAAGAAGCAAATGGTATGAGAGTATAATAAAAAGCTCTTGAGTTATATACCACCCATCTTTTTAAGGTTGTAATGATATTGACTGATTTCTTCTCTTGGAAAGTTCAATTTGTTTTGTTTTAAGTAAGATGTCAGAATATGTGAAAATGCTATACTTGTGTATCTTAATACAGTAAAAATAATGAAAGTTTTTAAATTCTTCATGAGTCTAAGCTGGGCCATGACTATTACTGTAGAGTCTATTCAACATACTAATTCCAAGTTTGGTGATCATCAATAAACTGGCACCTGTGATTAAACCTGGAAGAGTAATTTGGCAAAATGTACCAAAAGTTGAACATACACATACTCTATAACTTAGCAATTCTGCTCGTAGGTAAAAACCCAACAAAAATGCATACATATATGCACCAAAAACATGCTCAATAATATTCACAACAACACCATCTGTAATAGCCAAAAGCTGGAAATAACCCAAATGCCTATCAATAGTACAATGGATTAACAAATTATGGCTTATTCATAAAATTTAATGCTACCTGAGAATGAGCTCTTTACAACTACCTGGAGCAACATGGGTGAATCTCATAAGTTTACTACTGACTGAAAGAAGCCCAGCACACAAAAAAGCACATACTGAATGATTACATTTACATAAACTTCCAAAACAGGCAAGACATAATCTATTGTGAAAAATATACATAATGGTTGCCTTTGGGGGAAGAGTATTAACTAGAAGCAGCTTCTAGGGCATTGGTAAGATACTGTTTTTTGTCTCAGGTGCTGGTTGCATGGGTGTGTTTATTTTGTAAAAACTCAACAAGCTTGGGTACCTAGCTGGCTCAGTTGGAAGAGGGAGCAATGCTTGATCTTGGGTTGTGAGTTCAAGCCCCATGCTGGAGGCAAAACAAATGAACAAAAACAGAACAAAACAAACAAACAACGCCCCCCACCAAACCTCCAACTCATCAAGCTGTACACTTGATTCATGTATGAACTTTCCTGTATATATGCTACACTACAATAAAACTTTACTAAGAAAAGGCAAGGGCCAATGACTTTGGTTGGGGTAAGTGGTTGTCCTTTGAGCTCAGGAATGGAGAAAAACAAAACGTATACAGACATACACACTCAAAACAAAATGTAAGATGTACACTAAACATCAGTAAAGGTTATCACTGGATAATTGGATCAAGGGTAATTTTTTTCACCCCTGTCTTCCAGCCCTTTCCAGATCCTTTTTAAGGAGTCTATATTCCTTTTGCCACTGAAGGAGAAACAGAACCCAGAAGACCCTTAAGGCATTGGATCAAACTGCTGATAGTGAGCTCTTCCTTGTTGCAAGAAATCAGTCATCTCTTCTTCTTATTGCAAGAAGTATGGATTTCATTCAAACCCTCTGTGTGCCTTCCAGGACTGTGGGTAAGACAGTTTAGTGTTAACTATATTTTGAAATATAGATATAACTATAAATATAACTGTATTTGGAAGTTGGAGAGTTACAAGAAATAAATAGATATTAACCTTCAAGGAAGGAGTATGGGAAGATCAGGAAAGGCTTCCTGATGACATTTGATCTGGGGGTCAGGAAGGAGAAGGAATTTGTGAAGCATAGTGGGAGAAGGGGGATAAAGGACAGGAGGGTCATGGTAGACAAAGGAGTTACGCGGGTAAGGCATGGAAAACAATGACATGTTTGTGGACCAGAACGAGTTTGGCATCATTGGGGAAGAATGAAGGGACAGGAAACTGGAAAGGAATTGAAGCCCCCCAACACTTGTGACTTCGTACTCATTCCATATATTTTGTTTGTAGATATAGTTGTAACAGATGCCAAGCATGGTTCCCAGCATCAGACCTGTGGAAATATATAATAGAAGTCCTAAATTTTTAAATTGTTTTCTAAAAAAAAAATGTTTTATAGGATATTTATAGCTCACTAACAAAACTAAGTGTTTCTGCATTAGCATTTTTACTGGAAGCCCTGAAGTAATCAGCTGGAATGAAACCAGTCTTTATAGAATATTCTTGAACTTTAAATTATTTAAGTTGATGAAAATCCAAGCATGAATATAACAGGTGTTATGCCAAGTACAGAGGATTCTCAAAATCTCTTTCCCTAGAATTATAGAATAACTTGGTACCAACATCAGCATCCTCACATGAAATGAGTTTTCAAGGAGATGGTATTACATTTGGGTATATCGATATTATAGGATGCCTATTATTATTATTATTATGAATAGCTGCAGACAGAGCATCTGTGGCCTGTTGCAGAGCAGCTTCCCAGTTTGCCAAAGAAACACTTAAAAATGCATAAATGCTCTTCATGCTAATGGAACAGACATTTTTTATCGATTTCCAAAGAGAAGGGACAGAGAGAGAGAGAGAGAGGTTCTTCTGCCACTTCCCATGGTCCCACAGCAACATAACTAAATACGGAAAGGCAGTTTGCTCTCTGGGCAACACCAAGCCAGGAGGGAAGATTCAGAGGACATCCGCTCTTTCTTCTCACTTTTAAATTACACCAGAAAAGCAGAGGCAAGGAGGTGTGCATTCAAATGCACAGCTTGTGATTGGCTGGGGGGAGGGTGTGAATTTAGCAGTATAGGCAGTGGCCATGTCCAGCTGGTGACCGCTTCCCCTAACTGACCACTGGCGGCTGTGAATACAAAGGTGACCTCAAGGTACTGTGGTGCAACCGGCAGTCTCTGCCTTCAGATTTCGTTTCTGGAGAGGAAGTCACAGAATGAAACACCCTGGGGCACATTCCTGACTGCACAGAGTGCTACAAATTGAACGGCACAACACTCTGTTGCTTTCACTGGTTCCGACAGGAGCAGAAATGGCTGAGTGATCAGACAAAAGGCCTTGGAAAAGAAAATGGAAGGGAATTAATCTTGCGCAGTTGCTCTGTGCCGGGTGTAGACTCGGAGTGCTCAGAAGTGCTATGGGGGCAGCACGGGGCTGGGTATGATTCTGGGATTACCACTTGCTGGCCGTGTGAACTTGGATGGGCTCCTTAACCTCTGTGGACCTCAGTTTCCTCATGTCCCCCTCTTAAGGCTGTGTGGAAAGGAAATGAGAATCCATGTTCACGTGGCACACAGTATGTGCTCTGACAAAGTAGGTATTTTCAGTCCTTGTCTTTACTATCATCATTTAATCCTCAAACCAGCATCATGATCCACTTTACAGATAAGAACACTAAGGCTAAGAGAGGTAAAAGGTTTACCTGGGGAATATAACTTTGCTACTATGATTCCAGCCCAATGTCATATCAGAATTCATACTCCTTACCCTTCTGGATCACACTGCCTTTATCAGTTAGCTTTGAATAAACTAAGATTATTAATAAACTTTGATTTTTAATTTAATTTAATTTATTTAATTAATTTAAATTTTAATTATTTATTATTTATTATAATTATATTTTATATATTTATATATATTTAATACATAAATATATATATTTATATAATTATTATATTATATTATATTATAATTATATTTTATTATAATTTATTAATTATTTAATTAACTATTTAATTTATTTAATTAATTTAATTTTAATTGGTTAAATTTATTTAATTAATTTTAATTTAAAGATTATTAATAAACTTTGAATAAACTAAGATTATTAATACAAAATAAAATAAAATCACAGTGAAAAATGTAGGCTGTGGGTTCTAAGCAGCAAAGATAAAACATGCAGCTTGAGGAAGTGAGGTCCTTTGGCCTGAGTGACTATTTTACCTAATCCAAGCTCGAGAATGAGCCATTATTTTAAAAATAAAGGAAAAGTGGGGCACCTGGGTGGCTCAGTGGGTTAAAGCCTCTGCCTTCGGCTCAGGTCATGATTCGGGGTCCTGGGATCAAGCCCCACATCGGGCTCTCTGCTCGGCAGGGAGCCTGCTTCCTCCTCTCTCTCTCTGCCTGCCTCTCTGCCTACCTGTGATCTCTGTCAAATAAATAAATAAAATCTTAAAAAAAAAAAAAAAGGAAAAGCTTTGTATGTTTCCCTTCTAGTCCCTGTCACTGTGGAACTTACTCATAGCAAGAACAGAGTTAAACAGTTGTTGAGGTGTTTTTTTGGTAGATGGAAATTAGTTATTTCCTAGACAAAACTGGAAAACACTTTTATTATAATCATTCAAAAATACCCATTTCCCCAGGTGGCATCTGCAATAGAATAATTTTGCTGTCTTTCACCTGTGAAAATGGTTCCCACGTCCTCGGTCAGGATCATGCCTTCTTGCCCAGGTTTTCCTCCTAATTTTAAGGTGTTGGAAAACAGAGAGGTTTGTTTCTCCACCAGCCCTCACCCACCAGACCCGGTATTTGGGAGAAAATAGTGCTGGACTGAGAAAGTGATCTTTACCCAAGGAATCCAGCTGAGATAACTGCCTATGACAGAAACTGCTGGTTGGTCCTCTCACTTCTTAGTAACAGGACCCCAATTTCATTTGGGGTGGCAAAGTGCCCAGTCAAAGGACAACATTTCCTAGTCAGAAGATAAGCTGTGATTTGTCTATTTCCTCTTGCTCCCAGAACATAGATGTAATGGTTGGCATCCTAGCAGTCATAATGAATTAGGAGGTAACCTTGAGGTTAGCAGTCCCACACAACAGAACTTCATAAAGTTTCTTCATAAAGTCACAGTACCTGCTATAGATTTCCTGCCTCCCAAGTTCTTTTATGTCATAGAAAGTAACCTTTGTGTTTTTAAACCACAGTAGTCAGATCTCTTTTTTCTTGCAACAGTTTTGTCTGTACTAAATCACTAGCCCAGGAAGTGATTAAACATTAAACTTCCTTTACATGTTAATTGAAGGGTAAAAGACCACAGAATCAATATAATTTTTTTTTAAGATTTTATTTTCAAGTAATCTCTACACCCAACATAGGGCTTAAATTTACAACCCCGAGATCAAGAGTTGCATGCTGTACTGATTGAGCTAGCCAGGTGCCCCAGAATCCATATAATTTTAAAATCCATTGGGATTTGATATATAGGACAATTTAAATAACCTAAAGAAAGAAAGTTGTTGGTCCTTATTACCTATACCCATAACATAAAGAATCTGTTAGACCTAGAAGAGTTTAGAAATCCCAAACTCACTTCATACTCCACCATTCATTTCACAGATGAGGAAGCAGAGGCCCAAATTTAATCCAGCAAAGATTCTCAAGAACAGGCCAGAACCCAAACACAGATCTCCCAGTACCAATCCATTACCCCATGGTCGTTTTTCATTCTTGATCTACAAATGGAGACATAAACTGACATAATCTGGATATGTTACATAATAGTGAAAGAAACTAGGAACCATTGCACACACTAGAGTAGTGTTCCTCTGGATACCATTTTGTCTACTTTGTAATGTAGCTCTGCCCAATTTATGGGTAGAATAATCTGATCTCACACCACAGTGATCATTCCGCATTTGAGTAACACAGAGCAGTCCTCACCCAGTGTCTAAAGCCTTTTGATGCCCCACTTTTGGCTTTTAGTGCCAGTTCTTGTTAGCTGGAGACAAATTATCTACAGGCCCAGCAAAGAAAGGGGCCCATTTGGCAACAATTCATCCTTTTCAGATTTGAAGCCATTCCGCAAAGGCATTTTAATTAGGCAGTGGGAGAGCTGCCACATTGAGAAGCGGCTCCTAAGTGGGAAGCAGAGAATTTCAAGACCAACTGAAATTTTTGGTGCTTGTGTTGTTTACCATTTAAGACAGCCCCGGTGATCCTTCTATAGCCCTCCTTTCGTACTCCAGGCTTTGTTAGATTCTGAACGGTTCAGTGATTTCTTGAGGCTCATTCCTAGCAGTTCTCGTTGTGCTTCTGACTGCATGGTTTTCAGACAGAACACGGATCCTTTGATCATACTTTAATGAACTCAAGCTCTGTACCATATAAATGGTGATTGTTTTGATTATTATCTCCCGTTTTTGCTCAAGTGCGAAGAGACGACACATTTTAATGGAGGCCTTTACGAATTTTAAATGGTTTTTGTTCAATCAAAGCAATAAACCAAAAATCAACAACGTCCTATGTTAATTAACCGCCTGCTTACAAAAAGCTGAACAAGTAGCTCAGTTGTTGAGCGTCCTTGTCTCTATTTCACAGTGAGGAAGCTGCAGGAGAGGAAGATTAAGTCCACCAGATCATGAAAGACAGGGTAAGAACTCAGAGCCAGAACCCGGATCCTATTGTAGCAGTTGTTCAAATGAGAAATCACAGTTTTCATCTCCCAATCGATGTCAAACATTTGGACAGTATTTATAGAGGCTCGTGAGTGAGCATCTATCCAAAGGAAGTTTCGCAGCTTGGATAAGAAGTGGAACGTGGCCAGGTGATAGAACAAAGAACTGTGGACCTGAAATTCGGACTTGATTTCTGTCCTGAGCTCTG